TCTCACCGCTAGCCCTTTGCGACGCACCGAGCCCAGCGTCGACGCATTATTGCTCGCAGCTTAGCCCGCGTCCGGCAGCTCCTGCCCCGCCGCCATTTTCTTGCCCCGCGCCGGCGGACGTCGCGGCCATCACCCGTCAGCTAGCCCACGTCCGGTGAGATCCGCTTGTGCGCCCCTGCCAGCGGCGCCTGCGTAACTCCTCGATCGGCAGCCCCATAGTGAACGATTCTTCGCCTGATGTCCCCCCCCCTACGAATGGCCACGTGCACCGCTGCGCACGCCCGCTATCTCGATCGGTAGACATCAGCCGCCCCATAGCCCGCTTGGCGACGAACGCCGCGCGCTTGTCGCGCGCCGACGACGCCGGCCGCACCGCCTCGCCCCGCGCTGCTGCGGCCAGCCCGCCTGCGCGAACTGTAGCGCCAGACAGCCGAACATCAATACATGGCCTTCCTGCCCCTGACCCCGCCTCGCCATAGCAATCGCGACGAACGCGCAGATGCTGAGCGCCTCGCTCTAAGCGCCCCAATACCAACAGTGTCCTATTACATGCAACTGTGTTTCTTTTATAAGCGCAGCTAACGCTGCCTAACCCGATTATGGGGATGTACGCAGATGCCTAGCCATCCAACTGACAGCTCTTCGACGTGACATTACTTAGCACTCTTCTAATCAGACATGCTTCGCGCACCTGATCATATCCCTCAATCTCCAGCCTCGCATGCAACTTACGCGAGCCCATACTTTATTAACATCAGCACTGACAATACAACAGATCAAACCGTAATTACGAAGGCAAGCTACCAACGCCGTGAAATGCGCTAAACCACGCTTGCCAGTATTAGCCTCGAATTAAAAACTTAAGCCCGCTTTTATTTCTGACGCATTCTTATGCCCCGGTATTAGTGGATCACGCTGTCCTAACCTTGCCTAATATAAACCAAACGCTTGTCCCCTACGCCCATGCTCCCTATGCTGAGATAATGAGCGCCGTGAAAATCATGCCCGTTTTATTTTTTGTTTTTTGCGCCAAAACCGAACTCGAGACAATGCTTTAGCCTGCGACCTCTCTCGCCCTTGTGGCCCAGTGCTGCTTGCTTCCCGCCGTCGCCGCTGTGTAGCCCGCCGACTCATTAACGTCAGTACTAGCAGGAGTCTACTAACATCAGCGTCAGCGACGCGGCACAGTGCAAGGTACATCACCATATAGGCAATCAATAACAGACGCTGCATTCATTCCATTTATGTCAATTATTCATCGGCAAACACTACGTAGTTCCGAAGATAACTCCCAAGCCGCAGAGAGGCGGCGCAGCCAACAGCGCGATCTACGAGTCGGTTTTTGGCAGCAAATACCAATTTTCACCGACCCTCATTATCTCAGCTGATTCTAGCGGGCCGTCGTACGAACAAGCGAGGGTTTGTTTTATATTAGCAAGGTAGGACAGCTGATCAATAATACCGCAAAGAATCATCAAAATAGAAAAGGCAGTTTTCAGCATTTCACCGTTGTACGCTCTCCTTCTTAATACGCTCTTGACAAGATGCATTTCAAGAAACAACACTTATAAAACCCGAGGAATTGGCACTGTTTACCAGCTAAATCGCATTCATATATATATATATATATATACGGTAATTTTCAAGTAAGACGAAATGTAGTTCCAGCAAAAACCTGTCTACAACGAACGCTTTTCACGTTTCAATCGCAACCGACCCTCATGTGCAGCAGTGACCGTACTTCTAAAGATCCCAAGTCAACAAATAAACACTGGCTCCGCCAAAAAAACGCAAAAAAAAATGCGGCGCGCAGCGGAGGAGCTCGGAGTACCGACCTGGTACGTGTGGTTGTGCGCTATGTGCCGGCCCAGGTCCTTCACGCTCGCACCGACAGCGCCATGCGCGAGAAACTTGTCCGGCGCGAACTTCGATTCGCTCTCGTAGCCTGGCATCAGCGACATGCCGCCGGTGGCGCCACCGTTGGGCGCGTTCCGCACGGCTTCGCCATTGTACGAGTCGCGGCTCTCTCCTAACGACACGCTGCACTCCGACAGCGACACGTTCTCGTTGTCGAGGCGACCCTAACAAAAACAAACAAGGAACTTGATTAAAAACCAGTTGAAACCTGGACATTTTTTTCGATAATTCGTACTACGCTTACGAAATGCGGGTCCTTCAGTAACGACTTCGGAACCAAGGCGTCGCTAAATGAGACCGGTTTAGCAGAACGATGGATGCGGTTGATGAAAAGAAGTCACGTGTCCACTTAAGACAGGAGATTCGGTTGAGCTGTTAGTTGACCCGGTTTTTGTCGACTAACACGTGAAAAGTAAACACCTCCGTAACGCGTTCGAAACACACACAAAGAATGTGGGAAGATAAAGATGCCTATTCTTAGCAATTTAGACCGTTTCGACAATTTGAAATTTTTATACAATAATTATTGCCAACAGTAACGACAGCAACGTTGGGGGACTGAATAAAACAGGTTTTCTAGTGTTGTTCCAACACGTGTTACATTATGTAAACGTGTAACACGTGTTACAGTAACATAAACAAATCTTCACAAAATGCTGTCCACCACAGACGAAATGTCAGATATTGCTAATCTAAGCAATTTTTTGCAACATCTTGTTGCATGTACAGCATCTTATAGGCAAAGGCAGAAAATTATGATCCTGATTCACCTATTATCTATAGGAACCCATCTTCAAATTCGTAACTAGTATTGGTAAGACTTGAGAAGAGGCACTGTGGAATCAAATATTTAGTAGATACGATCAGAACGTGTTCTCACAATCATGCACTTATAATCACGTTCAATTACGAACAAGTGTCTTCATACTTTAGCAAATTCTTAGAACTAGTTCACTACCTACCTAGGGCATTCGACATTTCCACATTGCATAGAACTCTCAACAAACTGCATCTCATATTATCCGCGCGCCCGACAAACTATAGCACCATATGCCTATCATATTTTATGTATATATACTATCTAATCTCTGTACTTTGTTCTATATTGTAGCTAAGGTCTTTTATCTCTAAATAATCCAGATACGAAAAAGAAAGGCGTTGGTGTTGTGTATGTTTATATCTCTGGTGCATGATATGTATTTTAAGGGTGGCGTGCACAGGGCGTAAATCCGTACCGAGGAGTGGTGGGGGGGATGATCGGCGATAGCCGGGGGCGAAATTATACTTGGCTGCCGCAGGCAGGCCCGCGTGCAGTAGGCATGCCAGTGCTAGGGTGGTCTGGGGGCATGCCGCCCCAGAAAATTTTGAAATATTAGCCATATTCGCATGTCTGATGACACTATCTCAACCCTAGAACTCAACCCTACAAGTTAGGATTCAAAACACTTTTCATGACTTTCAGAGAGCTTACCACAGTTATCGTTACTATAGTAATAATACATGTATTAAACACAGGTAAGAATTGCAATTTCTCACAATTTCACGTGTTTTTGTATGTTGCAACCATACTTTTTGGCTATTCTTTTTTTTTCCCTTTTTTTTTAAATCTTAGGGGGGATATTTGTACAGGCCATCCCCCCTCCTTCAAGAGCGGGGGGATGCATCCTCTCCCCCCCCCCCCGGATGTTACGCCCCTGCATGCACACATGCACTTGGAGCGTTTAAATAAAATGTTATGCTAAATAAATACGAAATTCATTTACAAACAATTATTCTCTTACTCTCATTCGCCTATTATTGCCGACAATTTCCTCTGTAAATGACGTGCAAATGCTCCTCTGCTCAACACACGCCACACCGCACTGTGACACCGCCACTCACGCTGCCGCACACCGTGACGCATGCATATATATTTGACAACTATATATATATATCAAGGTACATAATAGACTAATATATCCTCTCTATTATGTACTCTTGACGTGATGGCGCGCATGATGCGAGGCGCGGCCGAGGATTGACACTTTGTCTCTTCCAATCACAGTCTACGCTGCACTCTCTATTATAACTTCTAGGTATAATACCATTAGAGCACGCGAATCGCCGATCGTCAGGAACCAGGGCATTCTGCTAGGCATAGAACGGTTTCCTACGATAGAGTTTGCACAAAAACCAAATATACACGCTGTTTAGCGCACTGCGCTACGTCATTCTGTTGCATTTTCGCATCTCCGTAATCAGAATAACGCCCGCCTTCTTCGTTGATGGCATGAATGGGGCGTCATCGACGTGGACAGTTCCTGAGCTAGGCCTACTGTGTTTACTTTTCATAAATAATGAAATGCCCGCCTGTTGCTTAGACTGTACCTGTTCGCCACCTTCACTCCGGCAAGTATCCTTCGCTACACTGACGCTGTTAGTGTAGCGTGTGGAACTGTCGACCGGGTACCAGTCCTGAGTACCAGTCTAGGCCGATGCATTTCGCAATGTTTACATGCCACAGCGCTATCTCTTGATGTTTTATAAGTAAATATAAGGATTTTTAATAAAATAATGCGTTTTTAATGTATTTACCACGATTTACGTATAGAAACTATATTTTTACTGATTTCTCTGTATCTTTCCTTGGAGTTTTCATCGTCTTTAAATGCCTTTCGGTAGATTTTTCTGCATTTTCTGCGTGATTATTATTTTTGCGCAGGCACTCATTTTGGAAATCCTCCAACATTTTTACGTCTTCCTTAAGCCGGGCGCACACGTGGCGATTTTTATCAACAGTACCGGCGATTTTTATCGACAGCACTGTCGATAAAAATCGCCACAAGTGCGCCACCCGGTGACAATGCAACCATCTGTCAGCGACATACCACTGTATGAACTGTACGTGACCACACCACGGGCGCTGCCAATATTTGATCACGTGCTTCAAATCATGCATTTGATTGGTTAATCCAAAAACTGTGCCTGGTCAGCGCACTCGTAGCGATTGTTCAGCAACTGGGCAACAAATATCAAACATGTTTGATATTCCAGCGACGAGTTTCTGGCGTCGAAATCTGCGGTGACGCGGTGCAGCGAACGCGTGGCGATTTCTCGGCGATTTTTTTGCTGGCAACAAAATCGCCGGTACTGTCGATAAAAAATCGCCACGTGGTGCGCCGGCCTAAAGTCCATGTTTCACTGTTGTTTAGGAAGGAAGGTAAAACTGTGCATTCGTATAATTTCACTCTTGCTTCTATAGTATGATTTCCATAATTTTGCTCTCTCCCATGATAATATTTCCCTCATCATGAACCTACATTTTTCAGTTCGGACTCTTATCATATCGTTATAACCTCTATATCATTAATTAAATCCCCTAGGAATGAATATTTCGTGCATGTTTTTATTACTTGGTTGCCTATTAATATCTCCTTCTCTATCCTTTCTTTGTTGGTGGAATTTCATAACCATAGTAGGCCCTATATTTTGTTTCGTTCATATTAAATTCTATCTTTTTGATTCAGCTAATCTGCGGCATGACTGAGCGATTTTTTGTTACTGTTTTTTAATTTCAATTCTAGAATATATCGTCCATATATAATCATTGTCATCTTCTAAAACTACAGACGCATCCGCTGACGCTGTGGCGACGTGCGCCGGGGCTCGAATTTGGCGCGCACGTCCTCACTCGCGCGACAGCGCTTCATACTTGAAACATCCCCGCGTCGCGTGCGCATATCCCGCGGAACTGCGCGTCTCATCCGCGGCAGCACGCCTTAGGATCAACAGCAAAGCTGTGCCACGCAATCTTGTATCATGTCTCTCTGGATATATATGTGTCAGTGTGCGGCAGCGTGCGTGCAGTGTATATATGTGTGTTGCCGAGGAGCATTTTGCACGCATTTACAGAGATGGTCCGGCAATAATAGGCGAAAGAGAGTAGAGAAACAATAAGACTTTTGTAGTAAATAGATTTCGTACTTATTTAGCATAATATTTTATTGAAACGCTCCAAGTGCCTGTGCTGTGTACGTTTATTTCTGGTGCATGATATGATATGTATTTTAAGGGTGCGCGTGCACTTTAACTTTGCCACTCTATATTTACAACTGCGCCGCCAACGGCGTTATCGACGCTTCAAAGGTGCATCATGCAAATAGCGTTCTGTGATGGTCTTCACA